TTATGGAATATTGTTAAATTTGATATCTAAATATTTTATGTGTAATATGCATGTAACAGGTAAAATTTAGTTAAATTGGTGGTGATAAAATTGTATAAATTTACCTAGTGATTTTCCTACGGATTTACCTACGGATTTTGAATGATGTAATTACCTACGGATTACAATCCGTAGGTAATTACGTACGGATTCTGTTAGTGGGTAATTACCTACAGATTGCAATCCGTAGGTAATTACCCACGGACGACATTACCTACGGATAGTAATTCCGTAGGTAATTACCTACGACCATATTACCTACGGATTTTCTACGGAAAAAAATCCGTAGGTAAAATGACATTACCTACGGATTTTTGCCATTACCTACGGATTTTTGCCGTAGGTAATAGGCTTTTTTTTGTAGTGATAAGGAAACATTCTCCCATGTGGTAAAACTCACAACTATTCGGCTTCTTCTTTCCTTAGTTATCATTCATAATTGGCACCTAAAACAATTAAATGCTAACAATGTCTTCTTCCATGACAACTTAAATAAGGAAGTTTACATGAAACTCTCTCTAGGCACCTCGTACAATATACAAAAGTTTTGTCATCTTCATAAATCTCTTTATAGGTTCAAACAGTTTGATTGATAATTGTATACCAAAAACTCTTAACCTTCTTTATATCCAAAAATTATAAATAACTTTTTGTCTATCACTCACTATTTCTAAAGATTGCAAGTCTAAACATTTCAACTTTTCTGATCTATGTTGATGATATTGTATTAACTAAGAATAAGCAAATGAAATATTCCTTGTCACTCAACAATTGGATGAGGCCTTCATGGTCAAAGATTTGATAGATCTCACATATTTTCTTGGTTTTGAAGTTGCCTGAAGTAGTGTCGATTTATACCTTTCTCATATATTTTTGTCTCAATATCTATCGTTCTACTACCAATTGTCGTTCTACTACCAACTACATTTACCTCAACAACTCTCCTATAGCTTAACACTCCAAGAAACAACAGTGGCTCAAAGAAGCTGAATATTGTACTCTGACTTCTATTACTTGCAAGTTATAATGACTCACTTACATTTTGGACAACTTAGAGATATAATATTCTGGACACCCATCTTATTATACTACGACAATCAATTCGCCATTTAGATTACTTCCAACTCGATTTTTCATAAACATATCAAATATGTTGAAATTGACTATCATAACTATTGATGATTCTTAAGCATCTATTTTTATAACTAAATAATATATTATTAATAAATAATAAATAAATATAAAAAGTAATATATATATATATATATATAAAAGAAGTTAAAATTGTAAATATTGAAATAAATGTAATAATAATTATTAAGTTTAAGTTAAAAAAATGAAGGATTATAACCTCTTAACTCCTAAAAAGAATTTGTCATCGTAAAAGAAACTATATAACGATTCTGTAAAACTTCTCCTAATTACCTCCTAACTTTAATAAGATGATGTCCTCACAAAAATTATGCCAGCTGCTTGCTTTCAATGATGTCTATTGTAAGTTGGACATATACTTAACATACATTTCCAAGCACGACTCTTAATTTCTCAATTTCTAAACTCGATCCCACTAAATCCGATCAACTATTAATGATCAGTCTCGATCACGTTTATCTTTTTTCATTTTGTATGTGTATATATAGAGAGCCTTTTTGTTTATCTATCAGTAATACATATTTGTATTCCTCTCTTTTTTCAAGACACAGGTTTAAAAAATTGTGAAGGTCCACCATTCTCCAATGCATGATATTAACATGGAGAAACCAATTTTATCAGTCAAATGAATTTTATTTTTTCAATTCAAATATTACGTAATCAATACAATCAGTTCTAGTTAAAAGTATCGTTAATACTTTACACATATAATTTCTTTTATATTACAATGTTTATTATAAAAAACAAAATAAAGTATTCCTCGTTTTAAATGAGGATATAAAAGGAGAACCTAATACTATAGCATTAACTATTTGATGAATGAATCATACCTAAAGTTAATGTTTTTTCATTCCAAAAATTGACCCAGCAAAGAGTTGGATATCCATACACACCACATGGATTGTACAACTACCATTTGCAAATTATTTGTGGCCTAACCATGATCACCCACCTTCAATTTTAACCTAGAACAAAAAAGGCTAAAACTTTAATGCAACCATCATGACAGCACAATAAATGTAACATTTTATATAACAGGTTTGGAAAACATGAGAAACGTGTCAAAAATAAAATTTAGTATCTCCTTTATTTCATCATTCTATAAAATTAATCTAGTTTAAAAAAAAAAAGATCATAAATACTTTAGACATGTACATGTATATAATAGATTAGTTTCATAAAATAAGTTATATATAAATATATGTTTGGTAAGTTGATTTTAAGATCATATGTTTTGCTTAGATTGTCTAACCAAATTTATAATAAATTTATAGAAAAAAAAGAGTTTAAAGTTATTTATAGTCATTGAATTTGAATTTGTGAGAAAATAATGAAAATGAAGATTTATTTTATTAAAAACAATTAAAAAATAGAATAAAAGTAATCATAATATATTATATTGCCTCTCTTCACAACCTATTTACGTTTTTGTCCCCTCTCATTTGTTTCACATCTTAAACAATTTTAGGGTCATTTTTCACTTCATACCACTTTTATGTATTTTTCTCAGAAAATGTTTAGTACTCACCATTAAATTTGAATCTGCAACTTTATATCAATTTTTCAATTTCTCACTGCCAACAAAATTTTAGTTCATATATATATAATTTATATTTTTAAGGCTTAATAGTATAGTTTTATAGTTTTATTTTTCCTAATATATTTGAATATTATATACTTTCTCATTAATTATACATTATTGTGAAATTTCAATTTAAGATCAATTAATATCATGAATATGTTTGAGACAAAGAAAGCGAGATTCTTCATTATTTTCCAAAATTGTAAAATAAATGTATAAATCGTAATTAAAAATTGTAACATATACTAGATTTTCCAAAATAGTGAAGTAATTAGGTACCTGAATAATAATATAAAAATTTAACTCAGATAAAAAAAAGAACAAAACCAATAATATTCAGTAATAAATGTTATTAAAAAGAAAGAAGTTATAATATATCTTTTTAAATTTAAAAAGGAAAAAAAATATTTTCTTAAAAAAAATTACACAATTACAATGTAATATATTAACAAATAAGAAAATAAATAATTTTTTAAATAATTTACAAAGTAAACCATATACTCATCAATTTACAATTTTTTACGTGAGACTTTCATAGGAAGTCAACAACCAAAATGAATTATAAATTCTTGTAATATTTAAATTTATCTATAATATTTACAATGTAAGTATTTTTTAAATAGGAATAATCTCTTTAAAAGCGTTTAATGAATTGGTAAAGGGCATCTTTCATAACTTTTACTAGGAATGTGTATTGCTTCAATCAATAAAAAAAATTCAAACTAAATCAATTAAATTAGTTTAAATTTTAGTTTAATTAGATCCAATCTTAATCAAATAGATAAATATGACTATTATTGGTTCAAATATTATATTTGTGTTTCACATATCTAATAAACTTAAACTAAATCAATCATGAATTATTTATTATTAATAATTAGACATAAAATTTGATGGTATAATTAATTTTTTTTATACATTTGTTATTGTTTAGTTTTATAAAATAATTATAACAAACTATATTGTTTATACTTTTAAATAACAAGATTATTTTAAATGTTTGCATGGAATATTTTTATCCTTAATTAAATAAATTTTACACTTACTAAGATACTCGATTGGTACGAACTAAATTTTTTTATTCAGTTGATTTGATTTGAATTGTATAAAAAAGATTAAAAAACTTCAGTCAATAAAAGTCAATTCGTTGAAATTTATTTTATCTTTAATCAGATTCAACTGATACATTAATAACTCAAACTTAATTTCTTTATAAGGAATTTAACAATTTGGTAAAGGGCATGTTGAGAATGTGATCTCAAAGCATCCATCAAGATTTTGAAGCATAAAAGTTTTGAAGTTGGGTCTACTTTTGAGGCCACCAATGCCACATGCTCAAATCTCAAGTGCTGAAATGTGACCAAATGACCAATAAGACTTCAGTTTTAGATGGAGAACTTTAGGCCACAAATCTCGGCACCAAAGTATTCTCAGCCACAAACACATAACAAGTCTCTTTTTCTTTTTCTTTTTTTGTTTTCTCACAACTGTCTCTCAGCATTCTCTCTATATATTAACACTTTCTTGCAACTGTATGTTACATAAAATTTGTCACTTGACCACTCAAAACCAAGCCGCCAGAACTGAAAAATTCTGTGACCCTGCTAACCTCTTACCAAGTTTTGTTTTGTTTGGCACTGACTACTGCGTGCTCCAACTGGGTTGATTTGTTTTCATCAATCAGAAGCTTGGTTCTCTCACCTTCTGTCCAAAAGCCTTAGAAAGGTACGTTCTTTTCAACCCCTCTTTCTATTATCATATTTGAATATTATTCTAATGAATTTAAGGAAATTCAACAGTTTCGAGGAAGTTTTCTTTTCCTCTCTTCTTGTTTTTTCTTTGAGGGTGTCAAAGATATACGGTGATTAGTACTAGTTTCATCATGTTTCTTGCTTTCTCAAATTTTTGCAATTTTTTCTCTTTCCATTTTAGCTTTAGGTTATTTTTTGTTTTTTCCAACATTCTAAAGGATTAAATGAAGTGGGATTTCATTTTTAATAAGGATAGGGAAGGGGAAGGAGTAAAGCATTTATTTATAATTGAAGGGAAACTCATGGAAACTGTTGACCTGCATACCTTATTTGTGTTTGGTTGAATGAAGTTATCCTTTTGTGCTGATCTAATAGCTTGTCTGTTGAGTCAATAAGTTCAGCATCTTTCCATTTATGAAGGACATCTATTACATGCTAATCATAGAATATTTTGAACATTCTACAGACTATTTGGCATGGATTGGTTCTATGGATGTGAAAATAGTGATTTTCTTGTACCAAAAGATCAAGAAGATTCATTGGAAAGGCATCCTTCACCAGGATGTTGGTCAGAATGGGGAATAAAAGCACCTGAATGCTTTAATTCACCTCAGGAGTTTTTTATCAAGGACACAGATGAAACAGAAGTAAAATTCAATTTCATTGATAAAAGTTTCAACGATGAAATTGAGTTTGACCCTTATCTACATGATAAAGAACAATCTAACAGTTCAAGTGTATCTGGAGGATTGCCTGAGCAATTTCAACAAACAGCACTTTCGTTTGATCATCAATCAAAATATCATCTTCAAGACCTATCAACTTTCGAACAAGTGGATGACATTTTCTTGTACAAGCGTAACTTCTGGAACTAAGATTCTTGGTTTTATGCTTGTATGGTGATGAAATCATGTAGCATCTGAAACATGCTTCCATTTTAGCAAGTCTAGGACAATTTGAATTGCTCTGTGGTGTATTTTTTTGTTCCAAATTTCATCATATTTATCATATAATGATCGGAGCCAATACAGACTAACACAATCATACTTATTTGTTCCCAGAACTCTATAAGAATGAACCTGTTATGGCATGGTAAGGGCTCCATTTTCTTTAATAATTCTAGAGTGAAAATTCTTTTTTTTTTTTTAATCTTTCATTACATTTTTAACTCAACACAGACATTCAATATTTGCTGGCTTACTATAAGCAAAGTTATTCCAATTCATATGACTATTTTTCTTACAGTCTTCACATGTTTCACATAATGCAGGGATTCTGTAATTGAAGATTTTCCTTGTGTTGAAACCCTACACAAATCTTTCTATTATCCTGAAAACCAAAGCAGCAACTCCAATGGTGATCACTACACTTGTGTGAACAAGTAATTAAAAAATATCTATACGGGTGTACAAGTTACTTATTAGTTATTTCTATCAGGTGGAGTGCAGAAAGATGTTGCAGCTGCAGGGTTTGTTCCTTGCAACTCTGACTCTAAGGATTGCTTGGATATAGAGGTACTAATTACCGTTTGTTTAGTACTTGAATAGTGTTTCCGAATCATAAATTTGTAGTCAGCATATAGTCAGTAAAGAACTTGTAATCATATCAAAATTGTCGTGTATATATCATATATGTGCCGTGCAAGTCATTTGTTATGGAGTAACATATATTGCATGCAACAAACTAGAATTGATGTGGACAAAACTTAGATACAGTTTCCAAATGTTGTTGGCCATGTTCTCTATTCATGACTGAAAACTTTGGAAAACTGCATAATCCTCTAATGCATATTCTTATTACAGGAATATTGAGGTGAAATCTATTTCTGATATAAGAATAATACCAGCAGAATTTAAGGAAGTGTATCTAAATTTTGTCCAATGTTAATTTGTGTATTATGGAGATACTTTTATGTTTACAAACTTTTCCTTAGGCGTAAGTATTGCTACCATCAAATTTTTGCTCTAGCAGAAACAATGTTATCCAGTAATTTCTCTTGTTTAATCTTAACAAGTTCACATAGAAAGGCAGAAAAAGAGAAATAACTGTACCTGTAGTATACTAGTATTTCTTATATGTGTAGTATTTTGTGAAGAAATAAAGTAAATCATGTCTTTATATATTATTTAAACTAATAGGACTAATTTGCATAGAAATTTCTCTTGAAGGGACGTCCGGTCAAAATCTTTGACCCTTTTGTGCAGTCCAATGGAGATGAAACCATGTTTGAGCAGTTATCCCTTGAGGAACTTACACTGAAGGGTTTTGAGATGTTAATTGCACAGGTATGTGAATGAGAACTGAAATGATTGGCATATGACTAATTGTAATAATAAGAAATGCTACTAATTAACATACCCTTCAACACACTATTTTTCAACATACTCTATAATTGCTCGAAGTCTATGTTCCAAACTAAATAATGCCATTCGATTCCCTATCTAGTGAGACTCATGGATTTCAGTCAATAACAAAGAGTGTGATGAAAAAAGGTGTATTACTAGCATTTCTCGCGCAATAATACTTGTTGGTAATTTTTTTTTTCTTGTCTCACATGATTAGTTCACTGAGAAGACTCGAATTTGTTTCCGAGATGCCCTATTCCGCCTTGCCAGAAATACAAAACAACATGTAGTAGCAGACTTGGATGGAAGTTTTAACATGCATCAAGAAATGCCAGACTCAGTTTACAATGAAACCATGAGGTACATGAAATAGATATGTTGCATGTCTGTTATGTTCTTTTGATGCTGTAATTCTCTTTGTTGATTTGGATGATAGCATAATTTCTGCTTGGTTTGGCCTGAAACTACTCATCACAAATTGCACTCTAACTCCTTCAATTCAAGTCTTCTTTTTGGGCATGAAATATGCTTTTACCATCGTCTTCATGTTCACTTTTTATTTTGTTTTCAAGTATATTCTACATAATGGAATATTATGAATCAAAGATAATTCTATTCTTTTATTGAGTTTTTTCATATCATATAATTCTTCTGTAACTCTTTGTTAACACAGAGAATTGTGGTGTTGGACACTAGTATAATGTTTTTGCGTTCCCCTAACTCCTTAAATGATGAAAACCCTTGGTTGAAATGCTAACTTGATGTATAGGTCTGAGGACAAGAAACCAATGGAATCAGAGACCAACAGGGTTGACCGAGCAGTTGCAAATCTCATGTTCAACAAGATGGAAATTAATATACTAGATATTCCTTTCACAACACTAGTTAACTTGAAGAAAGAAATAACTGGAAGTAATGGGCTTCAAGAAAAAAGCTCAAAAGTCTTGGATGTGACACAAAAATCTCACTCTCCACACCCAGAAAAGTTACCTGCTGATGCTGAGGTTCCAAGGTTTGGACTAGAGGATCAACAAGAAAAACAGAGAATCATATATTGTCTATGAAGATCCTACTAAGCAGTCATTCATGCTTGAGTTTGGTTAAATAATGTTACTGTGAGATGTTTCCTAGTAGCTAAACCACAAAAAAAAAAAAAAAAATAGTAAAACCAATTTCCTGTAATTATGCAACCCTTAAAGTGGCAAGGAATTTTGACTATTTTTAGCTTCTAAGATCTCCATGTATGTATATATGCTTTTGCACTTGAATTATTTGTTTTTGTAGCTTCTATCCAATGGCAAGCTGTATCCATCCAGCTCAATTTTGATTGGAATGTACGATTGAATATATCAACTAAGAAGTAGCAAAGAGGGGTCCCTTCAGGTGTTCAACACAACATTTTTCTTGGAGTGAAAATGATTGAATTGATGAACTAGAAGAAGCAAAAAGCTGGGGTCACTTCAGGATTGTTTGGTGTTGTACACCATGATTTTTTCTAATCCAATTCAAGCAGTGAAATATGATAAGAGGTTGAGCATTGTTGGACACATCCTTCACAGCTTTTGAAACATGAGCTTCACCATTTGCATCTGCATTTGCATTCACAGACTCACTCTGATTCCCATTCCCACCCTTTTGGATCAGATGCCATGCCATGCTTCCTTTCATGCCATTCTCAGCCATTCAAATATCAAATCAAAACTTTTTTAACTGAGTGGGAATAAACGATTTGTAAGTGGTTAAGAAAATATATTTTACGTTTTTTTTTTCTCCAAAAAAATTACACTTTTAGATTTAACGACGCGAGAGTTATGAACACATTGGAATAATAATAATAATAATAATAATAATTATTATTATTATTATTAATAACAGTTATATTTATTAATATATCATAATCTTAAAACATAATTTCAATCATTTCATTTTTCAAAATAAATGAATAATACTATATGAAAAAGAAACAAATTAAATAGATAAAATCAAGATCAATATGCATAAACATTATAAATATTTGTTAATATTTATAAGATAATATCTCTTTATATTTTTTATTAAATATTTTTCCAGTCGTATCTATTTTATTTTCTCTCCCTCGGTATAAACTAATACATACATTTTTTTTATACAAATTTGATAATTTATTTTATAATAATTTAATAAACTTATAAAAAAATGTGTGGATCTAAGTCTAGTTAGTACGCAGAGAATAACTCAGGTGAATATTCTGCCACTATTTCTCCACATTGAACATGCATACAAAGAGAAAAATATTTAGAAAGAAAAAGTGACAAATATAATAAATAATTATATTTAAAAATATTTTTACTTTAAATATTTAAAGATATGATTGTATTTCACTTATTAATTGTGTAACATATTTTGTATTTTTTATAAAATTTTATTTTATTTTAATCTTTATAATAATAATTTTTCCGTTTTAAATCAAAATTTTGATGAAATGTTTATAAAAATTCAAAGCAAGTGATATACATATTATATTACACATGTTACAATATATGAATATTTCATAAGAACCAAAACAAAAATAATAACTGATAAAAATTAACAAAAAAATAACATGTCCAATATACACCTAAAATAAGTGATATTAGATAATGTTTTCTTACTATTATAACTTACAAAAAAATAATAAAAAAATCAAGACTAAAGTTATTTATCATGAAAATTATAATTTATTCCGTCATTACAGATTGAAGCTTTTTTTTTCTCAAATCATGGAACTTAATTCAAATTTTAAAATTAAATTAAATGTATTTTTTTTTCTTATGTAGTTTGTCTGTGGACTCTTTATGATCAATAATCTAACCATTTAATAGTTACATTAGGAACAATTTATTTTTTTCACACAAAAAAAAAATGCATTCTTGCTCTTTTGTTGATTTTATTTTTTTACAAAAATACTTTAGTCTATATATATATATATATATATATATATATATATATATATATATATATATATATATATATATATATTAAAGGACAATGGAGTTATATTAATTAGCAATGCCCTAACAAAAGTATTGCCATATTCTGCATATCACTTTCTTCTTTCCTGAGAATTGGTTGTTGGAAGACAAGGCAATAAAAATATTGGAAAGAAAATGGAAGAAGTTTAACATCTTTCAAAGGATTTGTGGGTAGGCATGGCATCGGGCGGGTTTTGTCTCTATAATAAATTAATTTTACTATCTATTTTTTATATATAAATAAATATTTATAATTTATAATTATTATTAATTAAATATACATTTTAATTTATTATATTTATATTAAAATATACATGTAAAAGAAATATTTAATCATTTTTTATTTATAATATTATTATTATTATAATACTGTATTTAAATATTTGAATATTTATAACACTATTATTATAATACTGTATTCAAACATTTGATTATATATATAAGTTAATTCATTTTTAAGTTATCATTTAAAAATATGAAATATATAGTTTATAAGGAAATATTTAATAAGTTAATTCTTATTCAATTAGTTCGAAGTAATAAAAATTTAAATTATAAATTCCTTTAATCCTTTAAAATACAATTATTTTATTAAGATAAATTTTGATATATGATAAATAAGAATAATAAGATAAAAAAATATGACATAATAAAACCTAATAAATATAAATTATAAATAAAATAATATTAGTTACTACTAAGATTTATGTAAAATATTTAGAAAAAGATAAAGAATAAAAAAAAGTTAACTTTGTGTTCATAAAATTGGTTGAAAAGATTGAAAAAATAAATAAATTGATGGGAGAGATTAAGGAGACGTGAAAAATTGAAAGGTAAGAGAAAAAATAATGTAATAAATTAATTGATATAAAAGATTAAAAAAGACAAAAAATTAAAAAAGTGGGTAGAAGAAATTTTTTTGGTGAAATATAAAAAAATGACCTTATATGTAATAGAAAAAGAAAAGAAAATATTTTTAAAATAATAATATTTTAAAATTTAAATTTAAATATAAAGTCGAGGTGTGGACTGGGACGGAGTCGGGGTGGGGATTGCATTACCCATCCCCGTCCCGCCCCGACTTTTAAAGCGAGAAAACCCGAACCCGCCCCGGTCAACTCGGGTTTTCTCCAGTCAAACTCGGGACCGAGACGAGTTTAATTGTCATCCCTATTTGTGGGTGTCTACTAAGTGACTAATTTCACAATTTAAAATAAGGGATTTTTTTTTCTTTACATTGACTTCAAGAAATGCCCAATTCCCTATTTTTTTTTTTCAAGGGGATAAAAACGTTGACTTTTGTATATGTTGACACTTGTGAGTTCTGACTTGAGATACCTTGGAGGGACGAAAGAAATTAATTTGCTTTCAGATTATTAATCAATTTACTGTTTGATCTATTCCATTCTAAATTGTCACTGAAGACTCAAAATATTAATAATTAATTGAGACTAATCTAAAGGCTTTTTAGTTATTTTGATTTTACTATATATTTATAAACCACTAATGGCCAATATTTTATTTCTATTCCAATAAATTAAACACCACTACAATGGCATAACAAAACTCCATTTTATCTCAACTTTTTTTAGCTAGATTTTATCTCAAATTCTGCAATGTGTGACATTATGAAAATTTATCCAATTTTTGAGATGTGTAACAAATTATATAAAAGAAAGAAATACAGAATATTATAAAATATAATAAGTGATATAAAAAGTAAACTTTTTTTTTCAGTATCACCACTATGAATAAATCTAATTCATATTACTCTAAACAAAAACAAAGTTGATGATTTTTTGTGTGGTAATTAATAATTAACTTCAATTATCCTATCTTTTATTCACAATTCGCAAATAACTGTGACAAAATGTTCTGGTAAATCTTGAGCCTCCAACGAGCAATTCAAGTAGTTAAAAAGCCAGAAAATTACTAATTAAGAAAACTTCTGCAAATCCAGAAGAGAATTAATCCAGCACGACATACCTATTTTTAGCCCGTTTTTCAACGGATTTAACGAAAAATTAAATTAAAAAACAACAACAAACCATCTTTTCAAACCTTGATTGAAACGAACAGCCACCAAACCATAACGTGCACCCCACAACGTAGTTTTCTTCGTATAAATCAAGACATTATACATAACAAAACCCCACCAAACCTTCAAACCATAATTTCTCTCAAACCAAACCACAAAACTTTCTTCTTCACCTCATCTTCCTTCTCTTCTCACAAAGATTAATGACATCGCTATTGCCACCGCCGTTATTGATACCAATACCAATACCGCCACCTCCACCGCCACTATTATCCGATGAGGCCACCATAGAAAAACCCTCGCTACCTCTTCGCATGACCATCTCACTTCAACCGGCAAATACGAAGAGCAAACGCAATTCCAAGTCCAACAAACTCTACCGAAGGTTCCGATCGGTTTTCCGATCATTTCCCATCATCGCGCCGTCATGCAAGATGCCGACGGTTACGGGAAACCGTCACAACGAGCTGCACATCCATGGTGGCACAAGGATAACCGGAACCTTATTTGGGCACCGGAAAGCAAGAGTGAACCTTGCGTTCCAAGCAAACCCTAATTGCCGACCATTCTTGCTCTTGGAGCTTGCCCTCCCTACTGGAAAACTGCTCCATGAAATGGGAATGGGGCTGAATAGGATAGCGTTGGAATGCGAGAAACACTGCAACAACGACAAGATAAAGATCATTGACGAACCCATTTGGACATTGTATTGCAATGGAAAGAAAACGGGGTATGGGGTGAAGAGAGAGCCAACAGATGATGACTTGAACGTGATGCAGTTGCTGCATGCAGTGTCTGTGGCGGTTGGCGTTCTTCCGAATGAGATGGCAGATCCTCAAGATGGTGAACTCTCATACATGAGGGCACATTTTGAACGTGTGATTGGGTCTAAAGATTCTGAGACTTATTACATGACGATGCCTGATAGAAATATTAATGGGCCTGAACTTACTGTGTTCTTCGTTAGGATTTAATATGCGCCATGTGTACGGAATTGTTGAGTTTCAATCTTGTAGGTTACGTCAAGGTTTTAAGTTGTAGTTACGATCATTAATGTCATTTGTATACTGATATAACCATTGATTTTGTGCTATCATGTAGTTGAGATTGCTTCCCAAATAATGTTGCAAATCATGTGATGAGATTATAGTTTAACATGTGATGCATTCTCACTGTTAGAACAAGTGGATTTATTGCATGCAAATGCATTCTATTTTCATAAGGGTTATTTTTCAATGAGGATGACTTTAGTTCAAGGAAAAAGTAGTGAATTAGAGAAACAAGGGTTATGTTTCAACGAATTTTTATAAATTAAATATTTATATTATGTAATTTATAAACTAAATATTTATATTTCTTGATTTCTAAAATTATTAGGAAAAAATAAAATATGATAATTTGCCAGGAATAAAAATATATTTAACTTTTTTTTTCTTTTTTCAATTTTTTACCTATGGCTAACTTATCCCATATGGTGTTGTGGGTTCTTAACCCTGTAAGCTTTCTTTATTTGGGCTTTCGGTTCTGAGGTTTTTTCTGACCTAGGCCTATTTAGGTTTGGGCCACGCCTTTACAACAATTTATTTTGTGCATAGCAATTTATTTTTGGTAAAAGTATAACAATTTATCTCTAATTTAGTAGATTTTTAGAAAATAGATAATAGGATTTTCATTTTAAAAAATCATGATTAACAGACATCAAGTTTTTTCTTGTTGAGAAGTTTTTCCATTTTTTTTTAATTTGTATTGTATCCTATAAAAATCAATATTCTTTAATTATAATAAAAGAAAATGGTGATGTAATTAATTTATTATATATAAAATAAATTAAAAATAAAATTATGTTGATAACTTTTTATAATAATACATAAAAAGAGGGTTTACGTGGGGTTTTTCATGATAGTTCGTTTTTCTCTTCCGCCACACCAGTTGCACGGCTACCTTTCCTTCCTTCCATCCATCCTGAAAGTTAAGGTAATTTTTCTTTTTTCTCATCTGGTATTTGCTATAATTGCTTGAGCAATGCTTCATTCGATTAGTTTCAATTGGTTTTAGAGAAACGTCAAGTTTCGATTCTTTGAACAAGTGAAATACCGGCGAAACTAAATCTATCCCTTAAGTCTTGAATTCAGAGTATGAAAGTGGTTGCTCACTCACCGTTTTCCCATTACACGCCCACCTCGATTTCTCAATATTATTGCGAAATCAAGTGAAATGGAAAGGAGTTGGTTAAGTTTTGCTCATAAGCTGTTCGATGCAATTTCTGGCTGAAGATTTTGTAGCTATTTTGCTGAATCTAGGGACCACACAATGTAAACTAGAGGATTAAACCCCGTATAGTTACTTGATGGATGTCGTCCTCATTCCTATTTTGTGGTCATTAATATATTTTGTGGTTTTTGATATATTTAGCTTCTATTGCTGAGTAAAGTTTTGTTAAAGTTGGATTATATGTTACACCAGGTTCGATTTTAGGAGCCCCACTTTTTATAGATTGGAACAAAATAGAGTTGAAAATTTTGAAAAATCTGAGGAGAATGAAGAAAGTGAGCTGCTTAGGTGAGAGAACAGATTTGGCTTATGAATATTTGGTTCTATCATTCTTTTCTTCCTTAGAAAAGATGGAAATCAGAAAATGGAAAAGAATTAGCATGCACAAATATTATGATTTTAATCCAGTCTAGTTTGTTTGGATTTCATTTTTGTGGTGTCTGGAGGAGATTTTTGCTTTTATTTTTGTTTCTGTTTATAAAATCTGATGCTAACTACTAAATTCATTGTAACACAGTAACCTGATTGCTTGAACCACGAAGAGGTTTGCTAAATCCTGGGTCGCATGGCTACCCAGACAATAGCTGAAACTGTTCAGAAAATTGTCACCCCTGAAACCCTCCGCTATGCAGCCAAACAATCAGAGCGCTGCCTTGTTATCCCTGTCCGTCTCCGTCGTGCCATTAAAAAATACCTTAAAGGTCTATTTTCTGGGTGTTTACTTTATCTGCATATATGTAATATATATCTTTATATTTTCACATTTGTGTGATTGCAAGTGTTCATGTTGGTCTCGGGATTATAGAGCAGGAGGAGCCATATATGAAGAGTAAAGTCTTGAGATTGTCTAAATCATTCAATGAAATCAAGTATGTCAATCTACAGCTGGCAAGCACCACAGCAAAGAAGATAGTTGAAGACCCTTTAAAGTCTTTTGAACAATCAAAACGCTGGAAGATTACGAGCTCTTATGGGGACATTGGTCTCACGTATAGCGATGATGAGACAATTGCTTATGTGGCTTCTCGAATGCCTGCTGTTTACTCTGCTTGTTACAGAGTACTTAAAGAGGTAGAATAGAAACTTAATCTAAACAAGGGGAAAATCAAGGAAAAATTACAAAGAAAAACAAGGGACAATATACCATTCAAAAGTTGCTGTTAAAATCTATGACATAATTAGGTGAAGTGGGATTTTGAGTTATTTATTTTATATTAATCTTTCTGTAAAATAAATGGATGAAGATTGTTCGAAACAAAACAGAAAGGAAAAAAAAAGAAAGAAATGTGAATGAATAATGATTTTGAGGACATCCATGAACAAGATGATATGAGGAGGAAACATTAATATACTAATGAAAGTGTTTCTTAAATGGAAGGGGTTGATTAAGTTGACACAACTGTAAGGATTAGAGATAATAGAAGATTGAGTCAGATGAGAGGAGTTTTGCATTATGAAACAAGAACTGTAGGAAAAGATTTTAGGTCTACATTTAATCAAACTAGGTGAGTTCCTCGCCACAGATTGAATAAATGACAGGATTCCCTAATATGTGGGATTAGTGTGTCTTCTTGTTCATCTTGCTCTCTTTTCTCTCCGTTTAATTTGCAATCTGTATCATGTAGGTTGAGGATCCGCTATGTTATTTAATTTCCTTAAAGTATGAACCATGTTGGATAAGGCTATTGTCATTGTTGTGAATCATACATTTCCTTGAGTTATTTTCACTTTTCACTTTTTATTTTAATAGATACTGGAAAAAAAAGTCTTGAATAAAATGTTGGCTTGAAGTTAATCTCAACAAAACTCTCATTTTAGGTTCGCAGAAGGCTTCCTGGTTTTTCCCCATCTAAGGTATTAGATTTTGGTGCCGGGACAGGTTCAGCTTTCTGGTAAAATATATTTGAACTTTGTTCTGGTTAATGCTTGACTTTGATATCATAAGTTTTAATTATGTTTTTGAACTCTTTGGCTGCCTTTCAAATCTTATGATGTAGGGCACTGCAAGAAGTTTGGCCAAAAGCTTTAGAGAAAGTTAATTTAATAGAACCATCACAATCAATGCAGCGTGCAGGTCGAAGCCTTGTACAAGGTAAATGATGATAAACTTCTTTGAAAAAGATAGTCTTATTATTGCTTTCAAATAGAGGTGATGGAGGATAAAACATATTAAGTTTTTGGAGGGGGCTAGAAGAGCAACAACTCTACTTGAAATGTACATTTGAAGCAATGAAACAAGATTCATTAAGATGTACATTTACAATTTGTTGAAACCATGGAATATAATTGCATTTGAGCATATTATTTTTGGATTTCCAAATTTCTTGTCACTTGACATAATCTTAAACAAGCTAGAATATTATTATTGGGTTTTTTGTGAGTTAAGTGCTGAAATTTTGTCTGTATCCTTTCCATGCCCTAATGCATCCTCGGATGAGTAATTAGATCATGTTCTAGTGGAAATATAATTATCATGTGGGGTACACCACATTGCTAGAAATGTTAAATGCACAAGAGGGCGCACTTGATCTTTACTTATTTGCAACATCTTGGGGAAATACTTTGTTCAACACGTAAAAGTTTGAATTTTTATTAGACTTTGTTAGAAGTTCAGTAGTCTTTATATTCAATGAACATAAGATCAACAATTCCAAGATTGCAGAAGCAAATCCTATTCTTCTGAACTTACAGAAAAGAGATGAGAAAATTATGTCCTTCAAGACTTTAGTAATAACGTTTTTTCATTGTATATATATATATATATATATATATATATATATATATATATATATATATATATATATATATATATATATATATATATATATATAAAGGCTAATGTTTCAGAGGATGCTGCTGTGGTATTTGTATTGAGTGTGATCTCTCAGGTGCACTGAAGAAAAAAAGAATACAGAGTTATTTCATTGTATATATAAAATTTATGTCGTATTATATAGGATTTTGATTGATGGATTATGATCCCTCTTGTTAAAAGTTTAAGGGGTCTTCACATAGGACTTGATTGGTATTGGTTTCATAATTTACCTGCATTATGAAGAAAAGGAGAATGTTTTTAAATTTAACGAAACATCAGAATGTAATCAATTTTCTGAGTCATGACTCAGAGGGGTTAATTAAGTTGGGGCTTGGGAAGTAATTTCTTTTTCAGGAATTAGGCATCTTTAATCAATAACCTCCTGACAAGTGATAGAAAATCTGCCAGTTTTGCCTGCTGTTTTTTTGCTGCAAAATTATTCCTCAAGAATATGGAGTCTCTCTATTGAGGAAAGAACCTTCACAGGCTATACTAATCTAATATGTGTTGATTTTTCAATTTCAAGCAGCTGTTAGAGGAAGTAATACTAATCTTACTGAAAACAAGCTGGATTTTCTCTTTTTAAGGTGAATACACTTGACAAGGGAAGTTTTAATACAAAAAATAACAAAATGTAAGGGCTAGTTTTTCTATTTATAGGAGAAATTTGTCAGTGAAATTAAAAGATTTTAAAATTTATGAAAGAAATAGTCTGACTTGTCTTCTTATTTTTGGTTCATAATTATGAAAGAAATTGATATACTTCATTCTACCCAAGACATTCCAGGATTTCCTCCTTACTTAATGCTATGCATGCGTTGAATTCTATGGTGAATTTTCCTATTTAGGATTGATATTACAATTTTTTCCTTTCAGAATTTCCTGAGAAAAATTAAAAGTGTTCAATAGTTGGTGACTTTGAATTTTTCTCTGCTGTTGATTATACAGGTCTAAAGAATTTGCCACTTATTCATAGTTACGATAGCATTCAAACACTTTCCAAAAGTATCAGTAAATCAGAAAGAGGACATGACCTTGTAATTGCGGTAAGTTTATTCTTTTGAATTTTTACATTTATAAGCATGTTGTTTACTTTTTAATTATGTTTGTGCCATTGAGATGAAAATGAGCCAACTATATATGGAAAAACAAGAAATTATTTCAAGGATAAAAATACACTTCAATAATAAAAATAAATCATGTTGGATTTGTTTACTTGATATTCTTTAACTGAACGCTAGTGTGCCAAAATAAAATTATTCTTGTAGAAAATAATTGTGAATGTTATATACAACAATTTTTGTAGCAACATCCTAATCAACCATAATCAATAATCACTCTCTAAGTATCTCACCATATCATGTCTCGTCAAAAACTAAAATGAAAGAATGAATGAGGAGAGAGAAAAAAAATTTACTTTATATAAGAAAATTCTATTCTCCATGATGAAATTTTGTTTATGATAATTAAATAATAAATTAATGGAGATTTTATTTAATTAGTTTTTTTAAATGTATTATTTATTATATTGATTCCAATATGAATTTTGAACATTTTTATTTAATTTTTTAAATGTTGAAAAGTATAATTTTAAATAGTAATTTAAAACTTCATTGATATTTTAAAAAAAACATCAAATTTAAATAATAATAACAATAATAATTTTTAAAAACTTTAGATTTGAACCATAATTTCAACTTATATCAGTTTTGTTCTCAAAATATAATGTTTGGAAAATGTGATGAATTAAATTATTCTTGTCATTCTGAATAATAAATTTTTTGTCCAAATAAATTAAAAGTAATTATAACATATTTTATAATTTAGTGGGTATGAGAATCTGATTTAAGAATTTAGGGTGATTGAAAAAATGGTTTTGACAAACATACCTTATATAGCGTCTGATATTAACCACCCTAAACCTTCCTTGATAAATTAAAACATTACTGACCTAATATCAAAATCAACAACGTAGTTAAAGAATAAAAACCATAAATCATCATATTTTTGAAGAAATAAAATGAAGTTATTTAAAGGAAAAGTATAAAGAAGTTATGATAACATAATTTTTTATGGAAGCCTACATCTGGATATAAAAGGAAATGTCATTTCTGAACAGTATTACTTGCTCCATAATGTGCTTGAGATTTTTCCTTCTCAACTTTTAGAGAATATCGAGGTAATTATTTTGAATGCAACCAAATGAGAAACCCCACCTGATCAAAACAATGCCCAACATAATGAATGATATGTAGGGATAGGGGAATCTAAAGAAATTTTAACACAACAGTTTTATTACTATAGAGATTAAAATGTTAAATTAAAAGAAATTAAAAGATGACTATAGAGATTTGATCCTAAAAGAAAAACTCACACTTTCAAAATGACACGTAAAATATTTTAAAATTCTCCTATATAGTTCATTATATATAAGTAGTGATGTAATAATTCTTCGTTGACCTATCCTCCTGACCCTGCAAGTAGCTGGTGAAGTGCTTAAACAACGCATGTCTGATCGTGAGGTGTGATCTAGGGGCTCAGCTACTTTGTCTTATCAGAGATTGCTATGACAGTAGCTGACCATCCTCCAATTTATTTTATATATATATTTTTAAAATTATACTCTTAATTATATAAAAAATATTTTTAATTATACACCTTTTTTTAATGTTCTCTTATTAATTAATATTTTTCAATAGATAAATTAAGAAAATTAATTTATATATTTTTCAATATGATATTTTATTACTATACAAGTTTTTATGTGTCAAATAATTCTTACAAGTTTTATTCCTATATAAATTTTTATAATGTTCCATATAGATAATTAGATTTCTCTATTTTCTTTATTTGTTTGTGTACTTTAAAACAAAACATATCTTCAATATTTGAAGAAATCATGTATTGTTTTTGCTTGAGACTATAGAAAGTATAAAAAATATTCTATTTTTAAATAATTAATTTAGCATTATGACTGTTTTAAAAAGTCGGTCTCTTTATATTGGTTCAATAATTAATGTAGAAATTCTAATATACAAGGGTATCGAATCACTATTAAACAATGTTTAGCGTGTAAATTAGTTAAGACAGAACTAATCCAATATATGGACTAAGTATAAACATAAAATCGGGGAAACAAGACACAAGGATAAACAAAAGCATAAAAATACCTCTTTATTCATTAAAAGTAAAGATGACAGAAATATTTGGATTGCTCAATACAACTGCATGTTGGTCCTTCTGTAGCCACTTATTATTACTTAGTAATTTAGTAGTTCATTTTAAATGATAGACCAGTTCCAAATAATTTTGGATAATTTTTCTATCATAGAAGGAGATAAGTAATTTTCTCCACCAAATTATCCGTAATTCCTGATATGTTCACTTCCAAATCCTTCATCTTCTCAAAGCTACATAGTTTGATTATATTTTCAATAACTGTGCTACTCTCTCCTTCTTACGTGATAGGACAACCCAAGAATTCTATAATTCTTTTTACTTGAAATTCAGTATCCTCTTTTCACACTTTAATTTCGGGTAATGGGACACAGTTGCCAGTACCAGGGTCAAAGCTTTCTGTCAAGACCTTAACATACATCAGATTTTTACCTCAGTAGAACATCCACAAACCAATGGACAGGTTGAAGCAACAAATAAAGTAATTCTTAACGGCCTTAAACGTAGACTTGGAGAGATTAAAACGTTATGGGTAGAAGAATTACCTAGTATTCTTTGGTCTTATCACACGACTCCGCAATCAACCACCAAAGAGACACCTTTTCGCTTAGTATACAGGACCGAGGCAATCATTCCGGTAAAGATGATTTATCCATCTTCCAGGGTGCAAGGATTCAATGAAGATAAATCTATTCAACAAATACAAGCCAATTTGGACACAATCGAAGAAGTTCGTGAATATGCCCGAATCCGGTCCTCTATGCTGAAACGTAGGTGTGAAAAACAACACATTCCGAAGGTTTGGGGTCGAGAGTTCATTGTAGGTGATTTGGTTATGAGGCGCGCCCAGTTGAATCAGATATACAATAAACTTTCCCCAACATGGGTCGGACCCTATCGTATATCCACTGTTATTGGCAAAGGTGTTTATCGATTGGAAACCACAAATGGGGGCTTGGTACCAAGAACATGGAATGCATCAAGTTTGCGATTCTATTACAGTTAGTTAATGTTGGATCTTGAGTTGTACTCTTTTCCTTGAAAGTTTTTTGCAGAACAATCAAATATTTTTCTTTCAAGGTTTTTAATGAGGCAACGATATCAATAAAAAGGTCTCTTTAGACATTCTTAAGTGTTTATGTTATTATGGTTAGAATGTGACCTAGACTCGAAACATGAGCTATGTGCGAAATGCGCATTATGTACGAAATATGTACTATGGTCAGAATGTGACCTAGACTCGAAATGCGAGCTATGTGCGAAATGCGCACTATGTACGAAATACGTATTATGGTCAGAATGTGACCTAGACTCGAAACGCGAGCTATGTGCGAAATGCGCACTATGTACGAAATACGTACTATGGTCAGAATATGACCTAGACCCGTAATGCTGAGCTATTTGTGAAATGCACACTATGCGAATTTTATATCAACGTAAAGTTGTACCAAACGTGCTATTATTTTGTAAAGAGATTTGAACTTGATCGTGGGCGATTCATTAACCAGGGAAGACGTGTTAATTGACGTCATTTAGCAAAAATAACTTTTTATGTTCATCGAGAGTGACTAAGAATAAAGATGACTACAACATTCATGAAACATAAATATTGTTCAAATAGTGGATACAAGATAATAATTGTTCTGAATTACAAAATAGGCACCCTCAAATAACAAAATACTTCATGTCAGAGATTAGGTGCTTGAATTTTCATTCTCCTCATCTTCATCGTCTTCTTCAACAATCATTCCATCTACCACACTTTTGATAGGGTTGGCTAGGGAGAAGTCAACATCAGGGGCGATGACTTTAGCTTGTTCCAAAGCGCTATCAAAACCTGACTTGAACATTTTAACACATTCATCAGATAAATCATCAATCTGTCGTGCCTGACCTTTTATTTGAATGTTTAGATCTTCTATTTTCTTGTTACGGTCACAAACTTTGTATTCTGCTTCTTCCAAAAGGACCTTACATTTTTCTCGTTAACCACAACATCATCTCGTTCGCTCTCTAGCTGACGGAACTGATCCTGTAATTGGCTGAGTTCATCTTTTAAAATCTGCATCTGGACTTGAGTTTGATTGAGTTTTTCTTCTACTTTCTTTTCTTTATCTTCTTTATCCCGAGCCCGTTGTTCCAGTATTGCAAGCATTGCCATTGTCTTGTTTACAACGACTTGGCTTAAACAAGTCAACTCTAAGGAAGACATATCACTTAAAGTTCCACGATCAGGGGCTAAGGACCCTGCGAGCCAGCTGTCTCCTTGATAATCGGCTGGAGGTTGAGGATGACTAGTGGCTTCAGTCACAACCTCTCCTAATTTGACGACTAGAATTGATTTAGTATCATCGCGTTTCCTCTTCAGTGCCTTCTCATGCTTTGATCCTGAACTGCTTTCCTTTTTGTTACCAGCTTCACTTTCTCTACCTTCTAAAGCTCGAATTCTTCGGTTAAGAGCTTTCTTGGACAAAGACATTTGTTTTTCTACAGAAAAGTAATCATTATTGTAAACTTTAATACATACTTTATAGGATCAAAGTAAAATGGGAGGTGAAAATTATACCTATAAAGAGTTTTAAGTCTACTGGTCTGCCCTCTAATTTAAGAAGCTGGGCGATATCGAAGATTGTTTGTAACTCATTGAGTAATGTGCAATTTTTGGCATCTTCGGGGGAGAGCTCGTCCAAAGCAAGGAGTATTTGGCCACATGGTCGTTCAGTCCAATATAGGGGGAATCCCTCTAGCAGGGTTTTCTGGGTTTCGGGAGCACGGATTTTTATAAATCTACTTTTAAAATATTTGTAAGATGATTGGAACAAAGATAGAAGTGCTCGACCCCCTACACTACTAACGGATGCCCAAGAGGTCCGTTTAGAAAGACGAAATTCGAAGAAGTATAAAAAAATATAGATATTCGGTTCAAAACCGAAATGTTTACATAGGATGGAAAATCCTCGGATAAAAGCCCAGCTATTAGGATGGAGTTGGGCCGAGGCCAAATTGAGGGTGGTCAGGACCGATTTGCTAAAATCATTAAAAGGTAAGCGGACTCCTAACTTCATAAAAAGAAATTCATACATAAAAAAGAAAGGATTTGGGTCCGATTCTTGGTTTCTACAGATGAGTTTATTAACCTCACAGACTTCTACTAGAATATTACTTTCTTCGCCAAAACGGCTTAATCTTTGAATATTCCTAAACTGTTTGAGTTTCTTGCTGCTAGAGTAAATGGTAAACTCATTTAGGATATCAGATTTGGCCCATGGATATAAGGATTTGTTATCCAAGCTGCTAGAGCTCGCACTAGGGGATGGGAAGAAGAATGTGACATTAATAGTATGGGTAAACGATAAAGGTTCACAGAATAGAAATAGAACAACAACACAACAATCACGACACAGAGGAATAGAGAGAAACAGAAGTACGAGCATAGGAAACGAAGGTGAACGGCGAATAAAGCAGTATTACACAATATCAAATGAAAGACAGAACAACAAAGAGAGAAATGGGAAGCGATACCTAAAAAGTCTGGAGTAGGTTTAGAAGATGAACAGAAGCATAAATGGTTCAAGCTGCGCGGTGCGAAGAGACGAAGAGAGGAGGGAAATGAAACGTTTTGGAGGAAGTAAAGCGCAATGAATAAAAGCGCGAAGTAAAAAGCGTAGGCACGAATTTTAAAGTGTAGGATGTAACGTGTCAGATGATATGACATTTACTTTTTGGAGAAGATGAAGCGTTTGAAAATTGGGGACCGAATGGATTAACATATAGAAAAAGTTGAAATGTTTGGGGCTTGGTGAAGAAGGAAAAGATCACGATGTACAAAATGTCCAATATTGTATACTTCGGGGATGACATTCAATTACAGTTAAGATCAATTATTTTTAAGGGATGAAATGTGTGGGACATTTATTTCGATTTTAGTCTTTGCATTAGAATATCTTTCTAATTAAAGACTAGGGGGCTGTGGTGTGTGAATAGAGATTGGGCCTAGTGGAGCCCAAATCTAAGTATTAATAAAGCGGGCTAAATAGGTCCATAGAGGAAGATGGAGTTAACCATTACCTAATGAGCCCGAGGTATAGGGGTAGTTGGGAACAAGGCATTATCGGGGCCGATAATGCTGGAAACAATAAAAACAAACTAATGGCTATTGGAGAAGAAAGATAAAAGGGGAGGGGGAAAAACAAAAAGGATATCTCTCTTTTATTTCCAGAACAAAGGGAATGGTGTGTGGATACCAAAAAGCCTTGGCTCACTCATGTTCGATAAGTTAAGAATTTGGTCATGGATATCACGACAAAATGAATTCAAGGAAAGGAACAAGTTGTTGAGAATTGGAAGTGAGTAATGGATGGTTATCAAATGAGGGAAAGCGTTGATGGTTCAAAATAGCAGAAGTAAGAGATTTTAACCATGTAGTGCCTGGTTTTGGAAAGCTGGCAACAAAAACATCAGTCTTTTGCATGAAAATATTCTTGAAAATTTAATACTCCGTAAATATGAGGTGAATGGCACCAAAAATCTTGAAATAAACATAGATATTGGTTTCCAGCCAAACCTATTTCTCCGGGAAGGGACAGAATTAGCTCATGTTCTTCACTTATTTGCTGCTCAGCTTTAGATGCCATTGGAATAGTTAGAATATGAATGGTGATTTATGATAAGAAGTGCAGAGAAGGGTGAAGCACATGTACATTGCTAGGTCGAACATACTTATAGAGAAAAGAAAAAGGAAAAATCATTTTGGCCCTTGCTTTTTAAAAAAAAAAAAAATAATCTTGTAATAAAAAAAACTTAGTAAACTTATATGAATTATGGTTGGTGAAATTGGCCATAAACACTTGGTAATGGAAAGCGTGTTGAAAAATCTTCTTTGAGATGAAATAATGATAAAAAATCCTCCTCTTGAAATGAGAAGGTATGATAAAAATTTCACATGAAGTAAAGATACGATAATATTATAGTATATATACTACTGCAAATAGGTTACTTAATGACGGGTTAAAAAAGTATATAACGATAATTTTACAATTGTGTAAAATTTATAACAGTTTTGAATTGTCATTATAAATTATTAATACAACGATGATTATAAATATAACTGTCGTCATATATCCTTCTTCGCAGATCTTGCTCCATTACAATAGATCTTGCTCCATTACAACAGATCTAGCATGGTCCGCTACTCACCATATCATGTCTGCTGTCAAAAACTAAAACTAGGGAACATTGTGTAATCCATGCATAACTAACCTACGTTGGATAGTATTAGTTTATGCACCGCATATTGTGTTTCATGCGTGGAATTCTGATTGATGATCAGCTATGTTATAGCTGGATTTGAAGATCAAATAATCCATTGCATACAAAAGATAATCAACTATCCTGTGTGCTTCACATCTTCAGATTTTGGCTGTTTTTCTTTCCATTCAACTTATGAGTTTTGATTGAAAAAAAAAAAAAAGTTCAGCTCAATTTCTTATGTCCGTTCAGTTGATTATTTTATTATACAACCCATTTTGCCTTTCTTGTGATGCTGGAAGGATTATGTTTTTAGTGGATTTTCTTTCAAAAACCAGGCATATATATAGTATTTGAGTGTGTTTTCTTAAATTGATGCTAATTTTTAGCAATCTGTTTATTGGCTGAAGTCTTATGTTCTTGGAGAGATACCATCAATAAAGGATCGAATTACCATAGTTCGCCAACTTTGGGATCTAACAAGTGATGTTCTGGTATGTTTCTTGCTCATACTTTCGTTGTCATGTGAAGTGAGATTGTCTATAAATAATTTGTTACTTATTAAATTGGTGTTGTTTTAACATTTAGTTTAAGTAAAACAAAATAATTAGTTGAGAGAAGGGTAGGAGCAAAGGAAAATGCTGTTAATTATAAAATTTTTCTTTAAAAGGAAACGAATGTGAGCCCCTTCAAATTCATCAGTTCATTATGTTTAATTCTGTTGGATCTTCTATCTAACGTTATCTCCATTTGTGAAATTTAATTCTTGTAGGTTTTGGTTGAACCAGGAACACCTCATGGATCTAATATTATAGCTCAGATGAGATCTCACATATTATGGATGGAACAAAGAGTAAATTTACTACTACTTTTCAGAAAAAAAATGAACAATGATAAATGAGCTTTCTACTGTCTTTAGGCATCATAGTTGCAGTTTTCCTTTAATATTTATTCTAAGAATGGAATTTGCCGTTTTATAGAAATATCGTAAAGCTTCTCATAAGAATAATGAAGTTTGTAAAGATTTGATCACTCAGAAGGGTGGTGGTGCCTTTGTGGTTGCTCCTGTAAGTTTAGTACATTTTTACTCAAGATATTTTCCAATTTTGTAGTTTTACAACTTATTTTTCCTTAATTTCTGTCTGTCCCGTTCTTATCCCTTTCTCTTTTTTGGTAAATTTTCTTCAATGTAGTGTCCTCATGATGGGATTTGTCCACTGGTAAAATCTGGAAAATATTGTCATTTTGTTCAGCGCTTAGAGAGGACATCATCACAGCGTGCCTACAAGGTTTTTCCTTAATCCACATTTTACTTTCTGTATTGGAAGGAATTTTTTCTGTTTTTCTTTCCTTCCTACTTTCTCCTTTTAACGTGAAATAGAATAAGAAATTCATTGCTGTTGAATTTCATCATTACAGCGTTCAAAGGGTGATCCTTTACGTGGTTTTGAAGATGAGAAATTTTCCTATGTTGTTTTTAGACGTGGACCAAGGCCAAGGCAAGTGTTCTAATTAAATCTTTCCTTATTGAACTACATCAACATAGAGAACAAATAGACTAACTAAAATCATTTAATTAGAATGTACTGACAATGTAAAAGTTTTTTATACTATCATGAATCATCTGATCATGGATTGTCATGTGTGGTAAGATTGTTAACTTTTGTAATAATTACTTAAAAAAATATATTTAGGATAATTTCTAATTAGTTAATAGTATAAAAATCTTTATGTTAACAGTGTATCGTTGCTAATATTCTTCAGTTAATTTTTATTTTGATTTCTTTCTGTCGATATGGATATTTCTTAAGGTCAGAATTTCTATTTACGAAGGAACACTTGCTGATGCTTCCTACCCTGATCATTGAATGGCATAATGCATATCTTTAAGGCATGCATGCTTCATCCTTTGTAACTCTGTTATATTTACCCATCCCTTACATCAGGGAACCTTGGCCCCTTGATGGTATCGAATTTGAGACTCTGAAGGAACAGCACGCAAAAAGAAATCCAGAGGATCTTGAAATTGACTACGGTACATGTTTGACCTCATACTTTCTGCTAAAATACATTGAAACAAGACATTGTCTTATTTTTGTTATTAAACAATCTTCCTTTCCATGGTATACAGGAAAGAACTTGTTATAAAGTAATTTATTTTTATTATTATTTTTGTCCCTTTTTCAGAGGACTGGTTGAAGTTGCAACAAGCTGATGATACTCCTGATGGTGTAGCAGATGCAGTAACTTACGATGGTGATGATTTGGAAACGGGTGACACTCCATGTGAGGAAGTTAATGCTGTAACTTATGATTCTGATGCTATAGAAACCGACGGTGCTGATAGTGACAATGAATACGAAAGGGAAGAAGAGAGAGCCAGTGCTGATCTTGGAGGTGGCTGGGGCAGGATTGTCTTCATGCCTGTCAGAAGGGGTAGACAGGTCACAATGAATGTGTGCAGATCCACCAAAAAGGATGCCTCAGAGGGTTCATATGACCGTATTGTGGTCACAAAGAGCAAGAACCCTACCTTGCATCATCAGGCCAAAAAATCTATCTGGGGTGACCTGTGGCCCTTTTGAAGGAAAATATATAAGGGCTATCCCTTCAAAATTGAAAGAAAACAATAACAAGTTTACGTAATAGAGTTTTACAAATAACTTTTGCCTGTCAAATCTCCTTGAGTATTTATAATTTTAGTTTCATTTAATTTTTTTAATATATATTCAAATAAAGTTTTGAATATATTAAATAAAAAATATTTTATCTTTTTATCTTTTTTTATTATTTATTATTAACATTATTTAATTTTAAGATTATTTATCAAATATATATATATATATATATATATATATATATATAATATAATAATAAATTGAAGAGAAAATTACAATGATTTCCTATCAAATGGGTAAATTAGATTAATCTTCTTCTAGTTTTAAAATTTTACTTATAATATCTTCAAATAGATATTTATTTATTTTAAAATAATATATTTATTAAAATTTAAACAAAAAATTTTAAAAAATAAATCATTAAAATATACAAGTTGATTTTTTAATAAATAACATGTTGAATAACTTAATTATGAAGAAATTATTCTTCAACATGTTCGTACATAATGATGACAGCCATGTCATCGTTGAAAGATGAAAGCAAAGATAGTGATAGGGATGACAAACGCAAGTTAGCGCACATAATATGACGGGACGGGTTGGTGTTTTCAGCTTACTAGCACGTTTAGCCTGCCTGCTAAGCTCGCCAACCTGTCGGGTCAACTCATGGGACGGGACGTGCCAGCCGCGACCCGTCTAATTAATAAAAATATAATTTTTTATTATAATAAAATTAATTATAAAGATAATATATAAAGTTAAAAATTTTAAAAAGAGAATTAAAAAAGTTTTATTCTCACATAAAATAACCTTCTCTCCTGTTCTCTTTGTTTATTCTAAGCACTGATTATTTTTATCCTTATTACTTGAATTAATGGTGTAAGAATTACTCAATCAAGAATAATATGAAGTTTTATCAAATAAAAAATATATAAGTATTTGAATTTTTCAATATAAAAAATATAAATTTTATAAGTTTAACGTTATTTATATATATATATATATATATTTGTTATTATTTATTATTATGTAAATTTTATTATTGTTCTAAATTATAATTTCTTAAAATAATGTATTGATTTATATTATTAAATTGAAATAATATATATATATATATATATATTAAATTATTGACAAACAAATAATAATTTTATTATTAAATTTATTAAAAAAAATTATTTAAAAAAAATATTTTTTTCTAAATTATGGCGGGCCAGTCCGCTAACCCGCCTCTTGACGGGCGGCTAAGGTCTACATACTCATCATGACTATATCGAGCCAGCTCAAAGGCGAGGCGAGCTAAAATGGAGCGGATCGACCCGTTTTGCCATCCCTAGATAGTGAGACTCACATTATCGAAAGAGATTAGTCTCCTCGCAGTAAGAATTTTAACAGATATTCACGTTGCTTATGTTATTATTTAAGTAATATTCCTTTTTTCATGTATATTTATGTGTTTATTAAAATCATTTGCAAACTTAGTCAAAACTAATACATTGAACCATGTGAAATGAGAGCGTCATTTTTCAAAAAATAAGTAAGACAAGTATTTATTTAAAAATTAGAGGAGATGTAAGTATTATTTTATTAAAAATAAATAATATTATACAATGAAAATTGTTTAAATAAATTCTTAAAAATAAAATATATTCTGACCTGGTTTTAAGTAATTCAGACTCACCTTAATATAAAACATTTTATTGATTGTAGGAATTTTATTAAGTAACTTCGATTTAATATATTTAAAATTTAAAAGCGTTATTTGAATATTAATTAAAATAATATAACATTTTTTTTGTTTGTTTTATCTGAACACCCAGTTGAAGCTTGCTGAACGTCGATGCTGTCTGTAACATCTATGCACATAAAAAATTATTAGAGTTCTTTTATTGACAGAACTGAATAATAAAATCTAGATGAAATAAACGATAAAAATTATTTTGTAGTAAATTGAAATTTTCGATAAAACCAATCTCAAATCAAAAGTCTCATAAAAGATGAAGAAAAAGGTGCATTGTATCATTGTTAATTGCCTGATAAGTAAAATCCATAAATTAAGATCAAAATTGACGGATTATTTAGATAGGAATATATCTTTGATTAACTTTGAATTTTATAATGAAAGTAATAATGTTAGGACCGACATAGATTGTCTCATTGCGAAGAATTAATCAATATTACTTAAATCTTAATTTTTACTTTAGATTTTAGGAAATAGGGAGAATTTCAACTAAAAATTGTAAAATGCAGAAAAATAAAACTAATCACATAATGAAGATAGTAAATTAATCTAACAAAAGTGGTAAATGAAAATATTTAAAGAAAGCCATACGTGAAAAAATGTAAATGGAAAATAGTAACGAAAAGTTGTAAATAAAAACGGTAGATGAAATGAATAAATATAATGTAGGAAAACTTTGAAAAAAATGTGGTAAATCTAATTCTATGGAAACATTTAAATATAAACAATTAAAGAAAAACATGTAAATCTACTTTATAAAATTACAGTAAAAACATACTTAGAAATTAAGAAAACAAAGGTTGAATATTTAATCATCACTTGTTCAAATGATTATTATTGATTTTCAAAATTTGTTCTTACAATAATAAAAACAAATTCACATTAGTTTTAAACAATTACAATCCAATTAAAGTAAGTAAACACAATTCAATTTCTAAATAAAAAATCACTTAAAATTAGAAATGATAGTTGTCAAAATTGTTAGAAATACGGACTGAGATCAAGAGGAGGTGAATTGATATAATAAAAAACTTTTTGTAACTTTTGATTACAAATTATAAATTTCAAAGATTTAAGAAACTAATCAATTCTTGAACCAAACAACAACAATCTTGAATGAAAGAAAGAGATGAAAGAAAAGCAAGAACACCAAGTTTATATTGGTTCACCCAATCTACTAGACTATATCCAGTTCTCAACCAAATTCAAGTTGAGTTTCACTAATCAAATATCAATTGATTACTAGAACAAATTACAGAAAATCAATCTACACCAAGAACTATAATTCAGTTCTTGAACCTATGATAACAACCATAATTCTAGTTACTTAACCCAATGCCCACACCTCTAGACACTGAAAATACAAAGAGACGAATGGAAATTTGAAATGCTTGAAGAAACTACGACAATAAAATCAATATTTAGATGCAAAGATCTAATCACAGAATGAGTTTCCTAAAAAAATAAGAACAAAGAGCCTCAAGAAAGATTTCAAAAGAATTCTAATGAGTGAAACACGTTTCTTTCTTAGAAAAGATATTTAAAGATTGTTTGAATAATTTCTCAAAGATGTGTTTTGAAACGTTGGTGAAAATATGTTTATATAATTTTTTTTAACTAATTGTTATGATAAATCGATTAATTCACACTTTAATCGATTAAAATAACTTATCTTAAATGAATTTAACTAATGAAACTTTATACTCTATAAAAGTCAGAAACTCATGCTAGAGGAGGGGATATATGCTTATACCTACACAATGTAGATGAAGACACACTAATGATATAACACAACATCTTCTTTTGATTTTATTAAATCTTCTAGTCAAGACTTCCAAAATTCTTCTTATTAGCTTCTTCATAAAAAACGGACAGCTTAGCCAAACTTGACAAGTAAAAAAATTTGATGGCCTCTCCTTACCTATATTTTAAAACAGACCATAATTTTTAGTCTAATCTAACCCTATGTTAAGTACAGGGGCTAACAAACCAATTTTGGTATGATTGAAAGTTAAAAGAAAAAAATATATATATATATATATATATATATATATATATATATATTAACATATCTATACCCAACAGAATAAAGAATATTTAAATAAAAAAAAACATAAAACATAAAACATAAAACATAAAGATATATTTTAAAATTTAAATTATATTAATTAAATTAATTTTTATTTAAGATATAATAATTTAATATATAAATTATAAGAAAATGTATCTATTCAATATCAAAATAAAAGTAAAAAACTTACTCTTTATTATCATAAATAGTAATTAATATTAACCATTAGATCTTAAAATAAGTGGTTGTTAAAGATTTACTCTTAAAATAAGTTAATCCCATGTGAAATTAGTTTATAACATATATATATATATATATATATATATATATATTAAATAATATTATTTTTATTTAAAAATAATTATTATTCTATAAAATGAGCTGACTTATAAGTCTATGGAATAGTATGATTTAAGCCTATGTAGGTCATGATCTTAACAGACTAGGTCAAAATAGGCATGATTTAATTTAGGTCAATGTTTTTTTTTTCTAACCTTATCTATTTCTCGGGTCTTTCACGTGGGTAATCAGGCTAAGCCTATTTAGACACCCTTACTAGAAATTGAGTTGTGATATAAGTAAGACATTTAATCAAATAATATCAATTATATTGATTGTAATGCAGTATAATAAGTTAGAATAGTTAAAAACCAAATCTAAACTATAAAAAACAAGTTTTAACTAGTGAAACAATTTAGAAATGAATGAAAAATACATAAAAATAATAGAGGAACAAAAAAATGAAAGAAAATAGTAACAAGAATAAATAATTTGCAAAAAAATAGTCAAGGAGAAAAGAACACGAAAATTAAACGGAAAAGATTGAGAAGAGGAAACAACCATTATCTAAAACATTTTGAATTGATTATGTTCAAGGAAAAATTCATACAAGAAGCTCATGTAGACCCCAAATCTTGCCCGACCTCAGAATAAAGAGCACAAGACTTCCGTTCGAAGATGGGCAAGGCCTAAAAGGTCCATAGGATAGATCAATAGTCCCCATATTAGAATATGAAGGATTTTTGTATAGGAAAATAATAATAAGAAATTCAACCTAAAGGGCCGAGAGCACCGTTTCGCCACTTGCCAATGGCGAGACCACCGTCTCATTTGGCGAGACGGCCGTCTCGCCACTTGCCGAAGGCGAGACCGCCG